CTGAGTGAGCTGTGGGGAGAGAGAGAAAGGGATGGGGAGGATGCCTTGACAGAGAAAGGGAGAGAACGGAGAGGAGAGTAAGGGAGAGAGAGACAGAGAGATAGAGAGAGAGAGTGGCAGACCAGTTATAGCTGAAGCACGTGGCCCAGATGATGTCATAGGACCAGGTACTGACATAGGACGTTGTCGGGACCTTTAGGGTCCCTAAGGGCAGGCCAGCTGAATTGCCTGCACAACATAACAGTGATATTGAATGTCACTATTGCCACTGTTTGGGTGAATCTCTGAAAGGTGAGAAACTTCAGTGATACAGATTCGTGCCCCACAGCCTAGCAGTTGTCAGCATCCTCACATTCTTTCAGGCTCCCTGAGACACAAAAGCATTTAAGTCATCCCAGTGAATAGCCCAGTGCCCTCTAAGCACCCCTGTGAGAGCACAGTCCCACTTCCAGTCACAGTGCAATGACAGCCTGACGAGGAAACCAAGTTGAAAGCCAGGATAGGCTGAAGGACTGCCTGTCACCACACTGAGGCTGCAAAAGTGTCCTGGAAGGAACTAAAAGTCCATGGTAAGGAAGTGAGTCAACCCTTATTACTGACACAGAAAAAGACCAGCCCAGCCCACCACTCTAAACAAGGTCTAACCCAGACCAAGCCGGCCCACCACTCTAAAACAAGGCCTAGCACAGACCAGCCCACCACCCCCAAACCAAGGCCTAATGCAGAGCAGCCCACCACTCTAAACCAGGGCCTAACGCAGAGCAGCCCACCACTGTAAACCAGGGCCTAACGCAGAACAGCCCACCACTCTAAACCAGGGCCTAACGCAGAGCAGCCCACCACTGTAAACCAGGGCCTAACGCAGAGCAGCCCACCACTCTAAACCAGGGCCTAATGCAGAGCAGCCCACCACTCTAAACCAGGGCCTAATGCAGAGCAGCCCACCACTGTAAACCAGGGCCTAACGCAGAGCAGCCCACCACTGTAAACCAGGGCCTAACGCAGAACAGCCCACCACTCTAAACCAGGGCCTAACGCAGAGCAGCCCACCACT